GCATCTGTCCAGCACAGTGGACTGGCAAAACCTGCCTTATTGGTCAGTCTCTCTCTCTCTCCCTTCCTGTGGGTCTCTATCTGTCTATCTATCTATCTATCTATCTATCTATGTATCTGTCTGTCTGTCTTTCTGTCTGTCTATCTAGCTACCTATCTGTCTGTCTATGTGTCTGTCTGTCTGTCTGTATATCTGTCTGTCTGTCTGTCTATCTATCTATCTATCCTTTCTGTCTGTCTGTCTGTCTATATCTATCTGTTTGTCTTTCTCTCTGTCCGTCCCTCTGCCTGTCTGCCTGTCTGTCTGTCTATCTGTCCCTCTGTTTGTCTGTTTGTCTGTCTGTCTATCTGCATGTCTGTCTGTCTGCCTGTCTATCTATCTGTCTATCTATCTATCTATCTATATATCTATCTATCTGTCTATCCGTCTATCTATCTATCTATCTATCTATCTATCTGTTCATCCCTCCATCTATCTGAATCTCGCTCTCTCTCTCTGTTTATTTCTAAAGTCCCTCGCCACGGTTACCAACTTGGCTGTTTAAGAATGTAAGGGGGGATCACTGAAAGACCCAAAGACCCACAGAGACCCCCACCTCTGTTTTGTGCTAGACCACATTCCACACACCACACGTACAGGCAAGGCATGTTCAGCAGTAACAGATTCTCTCTCTCTCTCTCTCTCTCTCTCTCTCTCTCTCTCTGTGCAGATGCTAATGAGTGCGCTGAGAACCCGTGTGTTAATGCCCACTCATGCCGTAATCTGATCGGTGGATATTTCTGCGAGTGTCTCCCTGGTTGGACGGGACAGAACTGTGACATCAGTAAGTAGTCCACGTCCAAAACCACGCATCAACTTGTAGCCCTCTGCTAGCTGTCAAAGCCGCCTTGACCACATCTTTTGAAATCCAAGAAAATCTGTGTCATTTAACGTGATGCCAGAAATCAAACATACGCAGTTTTCCCTCTTTACTCCAAAGCTACTCGACTGACTAAGTCTGAATTCAGCTTCTTTAGTTTTGCCCTGGAACTACGAGACTATTGTGGCTGACAAAACTATAGACTTACTATGACGGTTTCTAGCTATCCATGCTATCAATGTCCATCAATACAGATAACAGAATGCCCGACAGTGTCAGAAACAACATATCGCTACTTTACATGAGAAGGAAAAATCGTACTTCAGTTTTTATGTAAGTAAATGTAACCATATTTTTTTCAAGTGTTTCTGGGCCGGTTCGTTTGGTCCATTCATCATGACGTTTACACACAATGTAAAGGACAAGAGGCATTTTCAAATTATGTCAAAAACCGGAAAACAATAAAAACGGAGATGCAAAGTTTTGTTCCGACAGCAGCGATATGTGTCTATTTGCAGTTACTCAGCATTTAATGGGATTTTGGCATAAGAGGGAAAAACTATGTACGTGTGATTGTTTGTGAAACATTTGCTTTAAATTAGTTTAAATATTCATGAAACATTTAGGCCAATTCAAATATTAGGATTGGAACTGCTGTCCTGTTATTACGCAGATTAAGTGTGTGTGTGGGACATTAGTCACTTGATAAATGACTAGCCCGCTAAAGTGCTCTCTTATCAGTGCCCATTAGCTAGCTGCTAGTGATAGCGTCCAACTCAAACATTGCCGTCGGCTCAGGGCCTGAGATGAACCCTGCCTGGTTTCCCCTCCCAGCCGCTTATCGGAGGAAAAAGCTCAGGAAATCTGACAGCGGCGCTTATCGGGGCTGGCTTTGTTACCAACTCAAGATCAGCTTAGCGCTCAGTTTGCATTGAGTCACTTCTGAAACTGAACCAGCCAAACTCTGATTAATTATTGTCATTTTTGATCGTTTTTTTAATGTGTTATTCCGCAGATATTAACGACTGTCAGGGACAGTGTCTGAACGGCGGATCTTGTAAGGTAAGTTTGTGCGTAGTACCCACAGAAACATCTGGGTGATTTGGGGGGCCTTTCCACCAGCGTTTCCGTTGTTTTTGGCACAGTTTTGAGTTTTTTTCTCTTTCCCCTCTTCTTTTCTTTCCTTTTCAACCCTGCTTTCCTCTATCTTTCCCTCTATCACCCCTCTCCATCTCTCACTCTTCATTCCTCTCTGTATAAATAGTGACTGCTGAGTCATGCTTTGGAGAACAGACAGAAAGAAAGAAAAAGAAAGCAGGAAAGCCATCTTGGGGGGAAAAAAGAGAGCGAGGAGAGAGAGTGCGGGTGGGAGGAAGACTGGATGAACACAGTAGATCAGATTTCCATAAACATTCCTGTCTCCTGCCAGAAAGAAAGAAAGAAAGAAAGAAAGAGGGAGAGAGAGAGAGCCTTTATTCTTTCCTCTCTCCTTCTTTCTCCTCCTCCCTTTGTGCCCACACCTCCCTCTCTCGCTCTCTTGCTTTTTCTTTCCCCGTCTTTTACCTCAGTGACCCTTTTCCTTCCACGAATGTTTGGTCCAGTGGAGAACAGCCGAAGTGGAAAGGCCTCAGAGCGCTGATCAAAGAAAATGAATGAAAGTAAACAGGTTGATTAAGATGAATGGGATTACATTACGCTGGCTGTACTGAAATGGCTGCACAGGGTTTGAAATGTTAGCTGAAAAATCTCATTTTAAACATACAGTATTGTGCAAACATCTCAGGCACTCAAGAAAGCTGTTTAAGACTGTTTATCCCAGCAGAAAGTGTGGTTTTGCCTGTAAAAACACTGTATAGCATTAGAATAGATACAAATACACATAAATACAGTACAGCGTAACATTTGTTTTTAAAAAAGTTATTGACATATTGGTTAAAAAATAGTTGACAGACGACAGATTTGGTTCCTCATGTCTCGGCGCACTCCGTAAACCCTTTAATGTTCTGCTCAACCATTTGATAGAGCACATTTTGAGTCACTATATGCCACAAAGTGCCATCTCAACCGTTTTTTTTTGTGGGGTCAAAAAAATGAAAAAAAAGCACCAATTGTTTTTATTATTGCCCCAAACAAATAAAAAATACAAAATATGAAAGTCCATTGCTTTTTTTCTTGGTGAGGACATTAAAGGGTTAAAGGAGCACTCCAGCCTAAACCTACCTTTTAATATGTTTTTTGTTGTCTTATGTAGGTTAATAATCTGTAGCACTGCATTCAGAAAATTGTGCATTTTGTCAGAATGCACAATTTTGTATCCTTCTTATGTTTATGTCATATATATAGATTAACCTATTTCAGTACTGCTGTCTAACACCAGCCCTTCAGACTCAGCAAAAATGGTGCTAAATGTTGTTTTACATCTTAATTTCTATGAGGCTGAAGTTGGCTTCTTATTTACCAGCTCTTGAATTGTCCGTTCCACCAGCAGTTGCATTCCAGCACTTGTACATGTGCCTGAATGTAACTTCTGCAGCATTTAAGGTGGAATGGGAATTTGAAAAAGAATTTGTCTCATATACACTCATACCTCCGACCATCAGACACAGACAGCAGAATTCAGGCTTCAGTTCCGGCTGGTCCACAGCATGTTTTGCACACAAGGCCCCGACCACGGCCTCGTCTAATGCATCTGACCAGCTTCTCAGGCGGTAGAAGTGGAAACAAACGCAGCAGTCGCTCTGTGTTAGGCTAATGCTAACCCCAAAAGACTGGCCGTTCCTTTATGTCCGCTGCCTCGAAAGCATAGTGGACTACTTCAGATGAAGTGCACTAGACAGAGGGAGCCTGGTGTGTTTTCATTTTTATTAGAAGGTGAATGAAACATCCCTGACTCTGCCGTTCAGCCAAACAGGATAACGTGGTTTGCATTGTTTATACACTTGATTGGCTAGATTGGCTCTTTTCACTAGAGGCCAGAATTTTCCCCGTTAACAAACGCCACCTTTAGCATTACGAGCTTTCTCATTCATTTTTCAACCAGTGAACTGAACTTTCTAATGCCCCTGTTCGAACTCTGTCTCTCTCAGGACCTGGTGAACGGCTATAAATGTATGTGCGCACCTGGCTTTGCGGGTGATCACTGTGAGAGAGATATAGACGAGTGCGCGAGTCACCCATGCCTCAACGGGGGCCGCTGCCAAGATGATGTCAATGGCTTTCAGTGTCTCTGCCTGCCTGGTTTCTCTGGAAACCTTTGCCAGGTGAGTGGTACACACGCACACTTGCACCCACGCCCTGCCACACCCCAGAGCACCCAAGACATTCCACGGTTAAATTCACAGGTTGAAATTGGCGATAAGATAAAAATCCACCAAATTCATCAAGTTCACTTTCTCACCACAACCTGATTTAAGTCTTTTATCACAATTTGATTAGTTTATATAGCTCCCTCCAGCACACCGAAACCACAAACATTGTTTCCCTTCCCATCTGGAGTTGTTAGCGCCCCACCCTGTGCTAGCAGCCGTTCTCCACCCAAACACAGTCAAGTCCGTTCATGTCACTGCCTACAACAAACTGCTACTTGTTTCTTCTCTGTGGAAATGCGCTAGAATACTCGTCCCTTTTTTTCTCATAATAATTTTTCCCATTCAGTGTGGAAAAACATGAGCCCAGATGACCTTTTGTGATAACGCATTAGCCTGGCGGTGCTTCTGTGGCTCATTCTGCAATAAAACATAGTGAAGCTAAATTCTGTAGCTCATTCTGTGGTAAAACGTTAGAGTAGCTAATTTTCTTTAGCTTATTCTGTAGTAACACATTAGCCTGGCTGTGTTTCTCTGGCTTATTCTGCGATAAAACATTAGCGTAGCTGTATTCTGTAACTCATTCTGAGGTAAAACATAAAAGTAGCTGATTTTTTGTAGCTTATTCTGTAGTAAAACATTAGCTTGGCTGTGTTTCTCTGGCTTATTCTGCAATAAAACATTAGCGTAGCTAAATTCTGTAACTCATTCTGAGGTAAAACATAAAAGTAGCTGATTTTCTTTAGCTTATTCTGTAGTAACACATTAGCCTGGCTGTGTTTCTCTGGCTTATTCTGCAATAAAACATTAGCACAGCTGTGTTTTTGTAGCTTATTACAAACACATTAGCTGTGTTCTGCTGCTTTATGACAGCCCATGTAGTAGCTGTATTTCTGTTGATAATTCTGTGGTAACACGTTGGCCTCGTCGTGCTTCTGCGTCTTATATGAATAAAACATTACATTACACGTTACCGTGTCTCTGAAGCTCAGTATATGGTTTGGGCTATTATTTATTAACACATTAGTCTAGTGATGCTCGTGTTGTTTGTTCTGTTATGACTTATAAGCAGCCAATCTTTTGTCTCGTATTCAGTGATAACCCATTAACTCAACCTCATCATGAAATGACATTGTATGTTGAAAGTTTTGCTTGGTCATGTTAATTCATGCTACAGTAAAGCATTGGGCAAGCCAGCCACGTTAGCTGAGTCATTAGTTCATTCATATGAAAATGCAAAGTCCACTTTCCATGGAACCGTTCCTTGCATGCACATGCTAGCAGGTTCTAACAAAACACATTAGCCCTTGTTTTTCATGCTGCGTGCTCTGTAGACAGAGAACAAGGACAGTTACTCAAGCTTTCAGATCATTGTATACTCAAAGAGATGAGTACTCTGAAGTGAAAGCGTTGTGACCGTTACCCCAAGTGTTGTTATGACTTGGCCAACATTATACACCAGCGCCATATATGGTTTTCACATATCATTTCACTTTATGTGATGACGAAACTGCAGTTTACTATCACAGCTGGTGTCTTGGGGTTTTATTTATGGCTCCAGTTGGTCATTGTGTGACATTTTTCTCCCTTGTTCTCCAGTTGGATATTGACTACTGCGAAGGCAATCCCTGTCAGAACGGAGCGCAGTGTTTTAATCTGGCAACGGACTACTATTGTAAATGTCCCGAAGACTATGAGGGCAAAAACTGCTCCCTCCTCAAAGACCACTGTCGCACCACACCTTGCACAGGTATGCATTCATGTTTGTGTTTGTACATTTTCAAAAAAAATGTCCAGATGTTAAGGAAAACCAGGAAAACAGGTCTGACCTAGATGAACAACAAAACAGCCTTGACTAAAGTGTTTTTTTAAAAGTGAAAGAACAAAAACAATTTTTTTTTTGGTTAATGAGGTTAAGACTAGGGTTAGACTTAGATATTGACATGTCGCTGCTGTCGGAACAAAACCTTGTATCTCCAAAATAGTAACTTTACAGGAGAAGGAAAAAATGTACTTTACCTTTAATGTAAGTCAATGGAACCAGACTTTTTTCCGAGTCATTTTGCGTCATTTCTGTTGGTCCATTCTTCATGAAATTTACACACAGTGTTTAGGACAACAGGTGCTTTCAAATTACATCAAAAACTGAAAAACGGCAAAAATGGAGATTTTGTTCTGACAGCAGCGATACGTGTAATACATGTATATATATGACAGCATTTTCTGGATATTTTTCAAATTCAAATGCAAATTTGAAAATGCTAATTAAATTGTGTGTGTACAATTGCATTTCCCGTGTTAGTGTGCATTACTTAAAATATATTTCAAATTCAAATGCAGAATTTGTATTTGCATTTGCATTTCTGTGCGTGATGGCTGGAAAAGGTTAACATGGGAAAGCAAAGTCTTTTTGGCATTTCATTTTCACTGCCTTAATGATCCGACTCTGACATTTGGAACGGAATAACAATCGTCCGTTTGCAATTGCATTTCTTCATCATTCTGCTTCAGCTCAGACATAATTAAAATGTGTGTTTCCAGCAAGGCTTCCTGTCAATCAAAGTGGGTGGGACGTGGGAAGGGACTTTTTAGTGTAGGGCGTTATTTAAGAGGTGTGTGTGTGTGTGTGTGTGTATATATATATATATATATATATATATAAAATATGTTCATATATATATATATATTAATACATATTATACATAATGGACAAATTATTATTATTCCTTATGGATATTTATTTTGATATAATGTATATGGGGTAGGACCGTACCAGGACATATGGGTCCTGACATTGTATAATAACAAACGTGTGTGTGTGTGTGTGTATATGTGTGTGTATGTGTGTGTGTGTGTGTGTGTGTGTGTGCGCTTTCAAGTTTTTCAAGTGACAAAATAGTTTACATAATGCCACATTCTCCTCGGTCTTTTTCCACTTGTCTCAATGACGGTAATTGTAGCAGTGACATGACCACAGGCTCTTGAGCGAAGCCCCATCTCTATCAGCTTAAAATGTCCCCACAAAGGGCCAGAAGCTTAGGCTCAGCCTTCGTATCGTGTCATATCACAGCTCACAGCCTCTGTGTCTCTGGACGTCTAGACTTCGCTGATGCTCACGCACGCACATCTGAAACGTTATCCCGTCATACAGGGATATTCTGAGGTTTTAACGGAGACGCCCGAATAGTCCGAGAATGTTTTTATAGCCGCCGCATTACTGAGGCTATCTTCAGTCTCAAGGCCCCCCTTAGCCGTTTGATGCCGCGCCATTGTACCGGGGTGCAGCATTAGCTAGTGCTAACGCTCCTCCATTGGTCCCCCTGGGCCGTGTTGCCGTGGGAACAGTTAAGATTTTGTTACATGTCAAGTGTAGCCGCATTACACGCGCAGGGAGTGAAACCCTACTGGCGCAGACTGCGCGACGACTTCGCTAAGCCTTAGCTCGTTGCTATCTGACCTGCTAGCAGAACTGTCAGCAGCTTGGGTGTGTGCCTGTATGGGGTGATACGTGCTCCAGTGATGTGAAAGAGAGGACAAAGAAACCAGGAGAGATAATACGTCGTTTAACCCTTAGAGATCTTAGTTATATGGCCAGTTTTAACAAAAGCATGTTGAGATTTTGATAAATTGAAGGTAAAGTCAAGTTACTTTAGTTGTTTAGTTGATTTTCTAAGTAAAATGAACACGTCCTCTACAGAGAACAGACTGCTGCACATTTTAACGTACGATTAATGTTTATTTGCTGAGTTTAGCTTATCGCTACTGTCAGAACAAAACCTCTTATCTCCATTTTTGACGTTTTTCAGTTTTTGACATAATTTGAAAATGCCTGTTACCCTTTACATTGTATGTAAATTTCATGATAAATGGATTCAAAGAAATGACCCAAAATGACTTGGAAAAAATTCTGGTTCCATTGACTTACATTAGAAGTAAAGTAGGTTTTTTCCTTCTCCTGTAAAGTTACCATTTTGGAGACATGAGGTTTTCTTCCGACAACAGCGATATTGGGTAAAATACTTAAAACAGAAAATGAGGACTTTGCAAAATTTATGGTGCATTTTATATATATATTTTTTTTCAATATGTTAAACTCAGGAAATAAATAGAAATTCTGCTCTGAACTTTGCAGAAAAATGCCTTATTTAAGTTCGTCATTTGCCCAAGTTTAGAAAAGGAATCAATTTTTTACATTTTTCTTGCTTTTGTCATTTTTTGCTTGAAGCCAACAACAAATATTCAAAAAATGTTGATCCTGTCTAAAAGTACATCAAATGGAAAAGTAATGCAAAGGTCATTATGTAACGCACATTATAATTGCAATTACATGAAATAGGTGTGTAATGTAAACTGCATGTACAGCAAAGCCGCAGTAACACTACATGTCTAATAGTTAAAAAGAGAAAGAAGATGAAAAGAAAAAGCTCCATATGCAGATTTTCATGAATTGTCGTGATGATATTCTTGTTGCACCTGTTTCTCCCTCTGCAGTGATTGACAGCTGCACGGTTGCCGTGGTTGCAAACAGCACTAGCACCAGCATGCGCTTAATTTCCTCCAACGTGTGCGGCCCGCATGGTCGCTGCCAGAGCCACGCTGGGGGCCACTTCAGCTGCGAGTGTCAGGATGGCTTTACTGGAACTTACTGTCACGAGAGTGAGTCTTACCTGACGTTGCTACGGTGACCACAGTCAACACACCTGCTGTTTATAGCATTGTTTTGGATCCTTTTTAACTGATGATTTATTATTCAGATATTAATCCTAAGACTTATTCAGCTGCGACTGTAAATTATTCAGTAACTATTGTTAATTGTTCAGTATCTACTAAAAATAACTAAATTCACAGCAACTACTGTGAACAATTCAGTAACTACTATAAATAACTCATATAATAATAAATAATCCAGTAACGGATAAATTATCAATGAATTCTAAAGTATTCACTAGCTACTATAATTCAGTAAGTACTATACAATATTCAGTATTTTATAAATTGTTCTATGAATTGTTCAGTAACTACATTACTTTATTCAGTATTTGCTATAAAATATTCAGTATTTATTTTAAATTATTCATTAACTGCTATACACTATTAAGTAACTACTATAAATTATTCAGTAACTACTATAAATTATTCAGTAACTTCTATAAATTATTCAGTAACGTATATAAATTATTCAGTATCTACTATAAATTATTCAGTAACTTATATAAATTATTCAGTAACTGCTATAAATTATTCAGTATCTACTTCATATAACCGCTATAAATTATTCAGTAACTATTATAAATTATTCAGTACCTTCTATTAATTATTCAGTAACTACTATAAATTATTCAGTACGTATTATAAATTATTCAGTAACTATTATTAATTATTCAGTAACTGCTATAATTTATTCAGTAGCTACTATAAATGATTTAGTAACTGCTATAAAGTATTCAGTAACTATTATTAATTATACAGCATCTACTGTAAATTATTCAGTATCTACTATAAATCATTCAGTATCTACTATAAATTATTCAGTATCTACTATAAATCATTCAGTATCTACTATAAATCATTCAGTATCTACTATAAATTATTCAGTAACTACTAAAAAGCTAACGCTCTCTCTCATTTTCTCTCTCTCAGACATTAATGACTGTGAGAGCAGCCCGTGCCGTAACGGAGGGACGTGCATTGATAAAGTGAATGTGTACCAGTGTATCTGTGCTGATGGCTGGGAGGGACCACAGTGTGAAACTAGTAAGCACATATCTTCTCTTTAAATCGAAGAGAAAAACTACTTTTCTGTATTTTTCACACTAAAAGAGCTTGATGTAGTAGGCTAACATATATAAAACTTCACTGCCCCAGTCCATACAGCCCATATATGGAAACTAATCTGTAAAAGAATTCATTGTTTTTGCCGAATCAAGTTGGAGCAGTTTAGCCCCGCCCATTCACAGTGAAGTTATAAGGAGCGTTTCACGCTCCACATACTATGCATATCTGCACACAATATGCACACAATGACAGTGTGTTTCTGTTTTTTTATTTTGTAAAGATATCGATGACTGCAGCACGAACCCGTGCCGAGATCGCGGTGTGTGTCGTGATCTGGTGAACGACTTTTATTGCGAGTGCAAAAACGGCTGGAAGGGCAAGACCTGTCACTCACGTAAGCCCCGCCCCCTTTACTACATAGAACACTGTCTCTGGTCCGTGATTGGTGGAAATTTAGAGCTGACAGTAGGTTGATTCTGCTTTGCAGGTGAGAGTCAGTGTGACGAGGCCACCTGTAACAATGGAGGGACCTGCTATGATGAAGGAGACTCATTCAAGTGCATTTGTGCACCTGGATGGGAGGGGGCTACCTGTAATATAGGTAAGATTTCCCCCCATTTCACCCACGTGCTCCATTCTTAGTATCTGCTTGCTGAGATTATAAATAGTTTAAGAGGAATTCCTCTGATATTTAAACATTTCTGCATAAATCAGTGTTTTAGGTGTGAACAAAGTCATTCAGAGTGGTTTGGTGTGAAATGGTTCACTGTAGAGAACCTTACTGACCCAGATCTCTTTACAGTGGTGCTGATAGGAACCAGGGGTCACCATGTCTACAACACGAATATAGCCATTTTATTTACTGTCCACAACCACCAGTGAATCCACGTCTTCTGAATGTTTATATGTAATATTGATGATGGTAAAATAGTGGAAAATCTGAAAATAAGTTTTCTTTGACTATTTTGCCTTGAAACACCCTGTATATACCTCCCCACCTTAAATGTTAAGAGACATGTGAGGCCAAAATCTTTCCTGAAACATCAGAAAACAGCGTTTCATGCATCGTTCACATAATAGTTTTCTGTGAGGGAGCTTTTGGAGGGGGATGTCTGGTTCCTATCACCACCACTGTCAACAGTAACAACTCACATTTGATATCAAACCACTCTGACTGACTTTGTTTACATTTTAACCATTTAATTATACAAACATTTAGTGAACAACATTTAATGACACTTTTTCACAGAACAAAATCACTTTTAGCTTGCAGAGTTAATGATTGTCATTTTGTTCCATTTAACTCTCTATTGCATGATGTTGCTTCAGGGCAACAAACTAATTCTCCTCACTTTACAATGACATTATTTAAAGAATATTTAAAGAAAAATCATAGGGTTAACTATAAAGAGAAGAGTTTGAGTAAGTCAATAAAAAGCATGTACTTGGTCAGACTGTCTCTTAGTGGGCACTTTTAAACCTCTTTTTTAACATTCAGTATCAGTTTTTTATGAGAATTTGCAGAAATATGTTTGTTGCCTAGAAGCAACATTGTGTGACAGTAGAATGGATTCAGCCATTCACAATCCAGGTCTCGCCACTTCAGGGAACACAGCTCTGTACCATTCCTTCCCATTGTCGCACAATGTTACCTCAAGGCAACATACTCCAAAAGGACCCCTGCACACATTATTACTATTATTTTTTTATGTTTTTGAATTTAATAAACAGGTCTGAAAAAATAAAGACAATTTTCATGCAAAAAAAGTGAATTGAATATATATTTTTAATTGCTCTCATAATGTGTGCAGTACAGGGTTAAACTTTCATTGAATAAATGCAACAGTGATTTGGTGTTATTGTTATTGTAATAACATAGGCCTAATATATACACAGTATGCTAAATCTTACTAATGTTACAGACCATCGTTCCTGAGTGGAGTCAGAACAAAATACTGTTTTTGTTCTGAACAAACCAAAATTTAAAAATTCTAATCCCAGAATCAATAAAAATGAGCAGCAACATAAGGATGTTATTTAGTATCTGGTTAATCGCAAAGCTAAAGTTTCCACTCTCCTTTGTTGCTGTTTTTATTTCGTTCTGTGGAAAAATCCTTTTTTTTTTTGTTCTCTGTTTCCATTCTAATCCCTGATTACTGGTGTAGTTGGTGGTTGACGGCGGCTCTGTAGTCCTTTGTATTTTAGTGATTATGAAATTAAAGCCATATAAATGGTGTGTTTGTGCGCCTGCAGCCAAGAACAGCAGCTGTCTTCCCAATCCGTGTGAGAACGGAGCCACCTGCGTCGTCAGCAGCGACGGCTTCACCTGCGTGTGCAAAGAAGGCTGGGAGGGGCCGACCTGCAGCCAGAGTGAGAAACCCCTTCTTATCCTCCCTCCTGCTGTGACGCTGATTAATCATGATACATTCAGGATCACTTCAGAAAAATTTAAAATTTGTTTTATAAGGTTTGCAATTGCATTTTAAGCCAGTTCAATTAAAGGAAAACTAATATCACACGTGCAAATATGTTTGCTAATATTAGTGACAGTGCTACGTTAGTTTTAAAGCCAAACCCCGCCCTTGTTGTGACCTTATTGTGATGTCAGCACTCAGTCCTTTCAGGTGTTTGAACCACCTTTGAGTCAAAAGCGTTTCAGTCTATGCTTTTAACAGCAGTTTGGAAAAGAATACTGTCCAATAATTATTTAAAACCTTTACTTAAAGGACAGATATCACCAAAAATCAAATTTTTCTTTTTTTTTTTTTTTTTGAATGTGTGCATGTAACACTGTTAAAGTTTTAAATGCACTGCAAAGCATTAGCCCCGCCCATTCACATTAAAGTTATAAGAAGTGTTTCTACCTGGATGCTTTTTGAACAGGGCAGCCAGTCAGAACAGAAGTACATACACACTCATAAGCAAAAGTTTTGGCACCCCTGGTCAAGGTACCTGTTTAAGTTAAAATAAGAAAATAAGGTAACACATCCTCAACAAAGAACCAACTTTTTAGTGCACAATTACTGTTTATTTGCTCGATTTAACATAAAAAATCAGATCAGCCCTGTGCAAAAGCTGTGGCACATTTTCTGATTTGTGCTTTTTTATGTTAAAAGATAGCAAATAAATAAAAATTGTGCTGTAAAAATTTGCATAAAATCAGTAAATTTGACCGGAGATGTGGAAACTTTTGCATATGACTGTATCAGTCTAAAAGGCTAATTCTAACAGACAAAGAAAGGTTGGAAAGGTTGGAAAGTGTGACTTACAGATTTTGACTTTTTTGGTATATAAAACCACAAAAATGTCAATAGAAGTGGACTTTGGGAAAAAATAAAGTACTAAAAAATATAGGATATGGGCCCTTTAATTAAAAAACAGTGATAATCAGATGTTACACGGAAGAGAAGTTAAATAAGTGTCCTCAAACCTCTGGACAGTGTATTTCCATTTCATATTTACAGAATAGTTCAGTATCTCATGATTCGTTATTGTTTATTAAGATCAGACTGACTTCAAATATCACATTTTTGTAACTCTTTCTGTTTTGTTTTTTTTTTAGACTCGAACGACTGCAGCCCGCACCCATGGTAAGCCATTCCCACGTACAGTTATCCTGCAGCAAAACATGCACATAAAAGTGCACCTCTGTCTCCGTCACGTACTCACACAAACGCACAAACAAGTACACAGTCACTGACTCTCTCTCGCTCGTCCGCTCTTCACGTGGAGCTCACATGGCTCTGCACAAACCCCTGAGGACGTTCAGGATGTGATTACATCAAGACCCCTCTCACCATTCATTACACTGTGTGAACAACAGATGTTTATCTGTGCAAGCGTTGAACTCTGACCCCTGAGCTTGACCTTCCTTTCCAGCTACAACAGTGGGACTTGTGTGGACGGAGATAACTGGTACCGGTGTGAGTGCGCACCGGGCTTCGCCGGACCCGACTGCCGCATCAGTGAGTAAATAACCGCCGTTAGCATTAGCGCTAACGCTCCACTAATCACTGACGTATAGATAATAACGTGCTGCCTTCATGTTGTGTCAGAAATATCGTATTTAATAGATGAGCACGTATGAGCACCACCACAGTGTAATATTTGCCAGTCAGAAACTGATTTTTCAGTAATCCCAGTAATTTTCTGAGTTAGCGACGTCAGCAGAAAAGCAATAGTGGCTTATAGTTCTGTACGCTTGCTGTGTGTAGATCGTCTGCAGAGCACTATTATTACTATCCAACATGAGCACTGCAGGCTGAAGTCTTTGGTTAATGTCTTACTCTCATCCACAAGCGAGAAAATGGTCTTGCATCCTTTGCTAATAATTCAATAAACAGAAAAACAAAAGTAAACAAAAAAAGAACATAATTCCCAGCCTGTCCATCTTGTTTTCCAACCAAAACCACTTGATTTTTTCACGTCGTGCTTCCAAAGTCATAAAGAACTGCGGAGGAGCACTTGAAGGCAGCAATAGTCCAACGCAACGCTGAAATTGTAGCCGTTGCTAAGCACAAAATACACACTGTTTAGTGATGGATGCCTTTTTCCTCTAGATTCAAAATACTTCTGTTCTTCTGCAGTTTAAAAGCATGATTTAAACCTCTTTTTGACACAAAAATGGGTCCAAAAAATAGATTTAAACGGCTAATTACAGTCCAGTGCTATGCTAGAGATGTGATCATTAGCGCTAGTTAACTATGGCTAAGCCTAAATTCTTCACATGATTTATTCTGAAGCCTTTTCTGAATAGATTCCACATACATTTCTGATGTTCTGCACTTTTAAAACATGCCTTTTTCCTCTAGATTCAGAATACTTTTGTTCTTCTGCGGTATAAAAACGCAATTTAAACTTTTTTTTGACACACAAAAAGTAGATTTATACGGCTTATTCGTTAGCACTAGTTAACAATGGCTAAGCCTAAATTCTTCACATTGTTACGATTTATTGTGAAATCTTTTCTGAATAGATTCGACATACATTTCTGATGGTTTGCACTTTACAAACATGATTTAAACTTCTTTTTGACACAAAAGTAGATTTATTTCCTATTTATACGGCTGTGCTTAAAGTATGTGTTCATTAGCACTGGTTAAATATGGCTAAGCCTAAATTCTTCACATTATGATTTATTATAAAGCCTTTTCTGAATAGATTCAACGTAAATTTCTGATCTTTGGCACTTTAAAAACATGATTTTAGCTTCCTGTTGTTCAACATTTGCTAAGCCTTAAAACTATACCTTAAAATACCTACAATGAGGAGAATATTATTAATTAAAAATATTTTTTTTGCTTGGAAATCAAAGTTCACACCGTTAGAATAACTTGAGTGCAGTTTTTCGTCCTGCGTTTGAGCTAATGTTAGCATGGCAGCAAACTCTGATTTAGACTAGCTACAACAGCATAGTCCAACTCAGTAGTGTAGCATTGTAAACTGGGAACTCGACGTTAGGGGCAGAGCGCTGGTAGGTCAGTTGTGTTCATTAGCATTGGCTCGCTGTGACTAAGCCACTGTAATTGAAGCCTTTTCTCTATAGCTTTAACTTGCTTCTGTTCTTCTCCTGTTTTTTGTCAATGCTAACATTTCCTGCGCTTATAAATATTTGGATAAAACCACAGGGGAGGAAATAGAGTCAGGAAGAGAGTTTAGCCACTTTCCATTCGGCCTGGAACCATTCCGAACTCTGCTAGCTGGAGTATTATTATTGTTCACTTTTCCCATCAGCTGAGTAATTACATGTTATACATCGCTGATGATGTATAATGCAGTAATAACATGGCAATAATAGAGTAATAACAACAAAAGGTTTAATAACGTCTGTTCTTGTTCCCACAGACATTAACGAATGCCAGTCATCTCCTTGTGCTTTCGGCGCCACCTGCGTGGATGAGATTAATGGCTACCGCTGTGTGTGTCCGCCAGGGAGAACCGGAGCCAGGTGCCAGGAAGGTACGCAGTTTAAACGTTTAAAAGTTATGTTGCTGAAGAAAGTTTCAAATAACATGAAATGCAAAGGAAAATAAGTGAAAAAAACAGGAATTACTAAAATTGTTATTCAAAAAACGATTAAAAGATACAGAGAAAATCCTACCAAATACCTGCAAGACAATTGGTAGACCACCAAACTGCCCCCCATCAGATAAACAGTAGCTTTCATCTTGGACAGAGAGGAGAAAATCAAGCTCCACTCTTGACAGCTCAGCGCTGTGGGTCTGAAAGGATGTGTAGCTGCCAAAAAGTGTTTGATAAGAAAAGAGAAAAAGGCAAAAAAAAAGAAGAAAATCAAACAAAGAAGCTGCTGTTGTTGTCAGAACAGTGGACTGACCACCCCAGAGTCCAGACCTCAACATCACTGAAGAAGAACTTGCATTTAATGGGTTGTACTTAAAACCAAAGCATGGTCTCTGACTTTTGCGCAGTACTGTAAATGTTAAAGGTAGAACTTTTTTCAAGCAAGATCATTGGTTCAAATGAAACAAAGCTATATAATATAATTGTGTTCGGTTGATCGCAAGTCATGTTTTTGGTCAATCCACATCTGAGAAATACTTCAAGTCCACCTCTGTGAGTGTTTTGTTCAGCCAAAAGTTTGTAAGCTGCATTTGTAAGAGATTCTAAAACAGCTCCTGTTTGTTTCACCGTGACAGGACGTCCCTGTAAGATAGGAGGCCGAATCATAGCCGATGGAGCGAGATGGGACGAAGACTGCAACACCTGCCACTGTCAAAACGGCCAAGTGACCTGCACAAAGGTAAAGGGCACATCTTTAACGGGCTAGTTCAGCCAAAAAGGTCTCATGTGGAATTGAGGCTAATGTTGCCAGTTACTGATGTCATTGTGGTCATTGTGGTACCTAGTAGTCCACAATAGCTGTGGACTGGGGACTAATGATAAGCACATTAGCTGTGAGCTGTAGCTTTAGATCATTTGTTACTGTCATTATTAATGAAAGCTGGTCTTATCAGTATGCAGCTCGTCCTGATTCCGTCATAGATCATTTGATCTTTCTTACGCTTTGTGTTATTATAGTGTTGCAACCCGTCGTCCTTTTGTTTACTCTTTTCTGTCTCTTTCTGTTATATCTGAAATTGCCATTAGACAAGATTAAAGTAAAGCGATAACACGCATTAGTGGTATCAGTTAGCTTATCAAATGTTAGGTCTTGCACTTGTGTAAGGGAACGAAGGGCAGAAACATCATGGTTTAAAGAAAACTGTCTGACCAGATGATTTCACTGTGGGAAAAACATATACAAGCAGTAGCCTAGCACATCTGGTAATGTACAGAATGCATTAACATAAACCTGGTGGCTTTTACAGACATGCATTAATTCTAATTCTAGACTGTTTTCAAATGGGAATTTTCATTGAAGTCTAATTAAATTAACAGTTAAACTATTAAACATTGCATTTAAACCATTAACTACACTAGTTTTGGGGTTACATGCAGATTTTCTGTTTGTTTTGTTTTAGTCGTTGTGTTTTAGGATTATACTCAACCCTTAAAATGTAGCCTTTTTATTCAGTTATTAATTCTAAGTCTTATTATTCATTAACTACTATTAGTTATTCAGCAACTACTATAGATTATTCAATAACTACTATAAATTATTCAGCAACTGATATTAATTATTCAGTAACTATTATAAATTATTCAGTAAGTACTATAAATTATTCAGTATCTACTTTTAATTATTTCGTAAGTTCTAAAATTATTCAATAACTACTATACATTATTCAGTAACTACTGTAAAGTATTCATTAAGTACTATACATTATTCAGTAACTGCTATAAATGATTCAGTAACTACTATAAAGTATTCAGCAACTTCCATAAATTATTCAGTACTTACCATACATTATTTAGTAGCTACTATGAGTTGTGAACAGATCTGTAGACTGTCATATGGATGAATTAGACCTGATCTGCGTCTGAGAATTGAATCTGTGTTTATTATAAAAGCTGAACATATTTGTTATTTTCCCCTGTAGTTGTGGTGCGGTCCGAGGGCGTGTCGTTTGGTCGGAGCAGGTCGAGGTGATTGTCCTGCAGGTCAGTCGTGTGTGCCGGTGCGTGAAGAACGCTGTTTCGTCAGGCCGTGCCCCATGCAGGGAGAGTGCTGGTCGGGTCAAAGGACACTCATGCGGGCCAGGTGTCACACAGAGAGCAACTGCGCCAACGTCACGTTCACTTTTATCAAAGACATCATGCCACAGGTGAGATAAACCAACAACTATATATTATTCAGTAACCACTGTAAATTATTCAGTAACTACTATAAATGATTCAGTAACTACAACCCCAATTCCCCAAGTTGGGACGCTGTGTAAAATGTAAATAAATGTAAATAAAAACAGAACACAGTGATTTCCAAATCTCACAGACCCATATTTTATTCACAATAGAACACAGAACACATATCAGATGTTAAAAGTGAGACATTTTACCATTTCATGAAAAATACTAACTTATTTAGAACTTCATGGCAGCAACTACTGTAAATTATTCAGTGACTACTATGAATTTTTCAGTAACTGCTGTATATTATTTAATATCTACTATACGTTATACAGTAACTGCTATAAATTAGACAGCTACTGTGAAACTAATATGTACATTAAACAGTTAGACATATCTGTATGTACATACATGCGTATCTAACAGGTCCTATGAGTGTAAGAGGTTAAACCATGAGTGAAAACATGCTTTTCTTGCCAAACATCTTGGTTGTTTATTCTGTCTTTTCTTCTTTGAAGAATGACTCTGAATCCTTTGTATTAAATCTCTCTCTCTCTCTCTCTCTCTCTCTCGCAGGGTGTAACTGTGGAGCAGGTGTGTAGGGAGTTGAGGAGTCTCTCTGTAGTGAAGAACCTTTCCTCAGAATTTTCCATCTCCATAACGTGCGAGCCCTCCACCACTGCCAGCAACGAGATCCACGTCACCATCGTACGTTCCCAGAACATCCCTCACATTCTCTGCAGCGTACATCCACAGAGCACCACCGGCAGCTTTAGCCTTTAACTGCATGACTGTAATGCACTAACAGTAGTCACACGGTATTATGAAGTTCTTTGCTGATAAGCTTGATTCTTTCAGTCTGTTTCTTGAATTATGTGCTTTGGCAACAGCTCACTAAGTACATGGCTCACAGAATAACAGTCACTTATGCTGGGAAAACTCAGCTAAGATTAAGGTCTCACTCACAGTAGAGCTTTGTTTATCTGATATTCAAATGCAAGTACTAAAAGTAAAGGTAATTGCCAAATGGTTGTCAGTAATGATTTCAGTTGGCCTCATTGTGTTGACTTTGGGAAGTCATTCAAAGTACAGAGTACAGAGTACAGAAGGGAAGTACAGACTTTATTGTTGCTGTTTCGTAATCAGCCTGTTTTCCTGCAGGTTTCTGATGATGGCGCGGGCAGCGATGCTCCTGAAATCACGGACAGGATCGTGGACCTGGTGAGCAAACGTAACGCTAATGGCACCATCCTCACCGCCATCGCGGATGTGCGTGTGCAGCGCAGGAAGAACGCCAGCCAAAACGGTAAGAAACCACAGCAAGTAGAGTTCTGAATATACAGCACTCTGAGAGAACCATGAGACGTTAATAGATGAAGAATAGAAAGTTATAACAAAACTAGATAAGAACAGATTCCAGAAAATTACTTTATCAGTTAATAAAAGTAAAATGTATGCTTTCATAGCATATTGTATTTTATAATATAGTATGATGAGCTTTATTATGAAAGTTGTTATGCTCTATTAAGAGAGTTAAATTGAAATACTGATCACTAAAAGTAAAATCATGTCAGGTTCTGTAATTATTAAGGATGTATCAAAATTTTGGTCCCTGGAAATTTTTGGCCAAAAATGGTCAAATGTGGCCCTTTAGTACAAAAAAGCAAAGGAAAAAGATTCAATGAAGTTAAAATCTAACACGTAACACATCATTTGAACGGCAATGAAACAGTGATTAAAAATGCTGTTTGTGTTGTCACTTACATTATGTATCATATATATATATATATATATATATATATATATATATATATATATACATATATACATACATAGTTTTACAACTTGTATTACATTAATTCAAAAGCAGAAATAAAAGTGCAAATGATATAATTCTTTCAGTTTTCAGTTTCAGTTTCGTCGTTGGTCAAAATTTTTTATTTCGGTACATCACTAGTAATGATGTTAGTTATTCTGCCTCTGTAAAATTGTAGAAGGTATTCTAAAGTGAGGAGGATTCCCAGTCTAATTCTTTTAAATAAAATACTATTTAGTAACAAGAAAATCCATAAAATGTTCTAAAATGAAGATATGGCAGTAACACCGCCTGGATAAGCACCCTACACTATACCAATAAGAGTCCTTGGGCAAGACTCCTAACACTACCTTCACCTACCTGTGTAAAAATGATCAAATTGTAAGTCGCTCTGGATAAGATCGTCTGGCAAATGGCATAAATATAAATGTAAATAACGTCCCTTTTGTCACTCTGTAGAATACTTGGTGCCGGTGCTGGTTTCTGTGGTAACCGTGATCTGGGTGATGGCGTTGGTGTCCGTGTTGCTATGGTTTGTGCGACGACGACGCAAGCAGAACGGCAGCCCCACGGCGACCGGCCATGCCTCCCCATTGCCCACAACGACCGCCGAGGACAACAACGCGGCCAACAACGCGCGGGAGCACCTGAACCAGATCAAGAACCACATCGAAAAGAACCAGGCGTCCAACGGTAACGACAAGCTCCACGGTGACGACAAGAACGCCGTCAGCGCCAAAATCAGGACGCACTTCTCCGAGACGACCTCCAGCCTTCCGGATGAGGACATGGACACAGACAAGCGGCTCCACAAGGCCCGGTTTCCACGGCAACCGGCCTACACGCTGGTTGACCGAGACGAGCGGCCGTGTTTGAACGGTACGGCGGGGAAGCAGCCGCACTGGACTAACAAACGAGACAACAGAGACCTGGAACAGTCCCAGAGCAGTTTACACAGAATGGAGTATATCGTATAGCAACCGCTGCTAAAAAACAAAAATAATAATAATCCAGTGGGCTAACGCCGCAGTCACCGTGACAACCATCACGGCCACATACAAAAACGGTAATGCGAGAAGGTCGAAGGTAAAGGAAGGAGGGGAAAAAACGAGGCGAGTTCACTCCGAAATTTCTTTGGATAGCCGCCGAAAGGCTCCGATCGCAGTCTCCGTTTTGGAATCTGGAGCTAAAATTGCAAAGCAAAGCGAAGAAAAGTCCCCACAGTGAAATCTACAGTACAGAACCACAGTCTACAATAAAGAACACGCTGGCTCAGTCAGTCGGGTTGTTGTGAGTGGCTGTTTTTTTAGGTGTTTTTGGAATTTTTGGAAAAACCCCTGGTTTAAAACGGTAACGCCACTCTGCGGTTCTTCGTTTAGCAAAGAACTATGAATTCTCTGAAGTGACGTCACTCTCAGAAAAATCTGAACCGTGTCCTGGTTTTGGAGGTCACATGACTTTGCAGTCAGCATCTGTCAGTGTTGGGATCATTTCACAAGGACTTTAGACTCGATTGGTCAGAGCGAGCCACGTTTATATAAATGGAGCTTTTGTCAAAATTGGCTGATCTGAGACCAGATTTGCTGGTTCGATTTTAACGGTTGGGTATTAAGATTAGGGTACTAAGATTTGGCTAAGATGAGCTGATTGTAGTTGTCATAAAGGAAAACTCCATTAAATGATCTGTTAGCGAATAACCTCCCATTAGGCCAAACCACAACAACCATTAAAGTTTATTATTATTATTATTTATTAGCGTTGTTTATTGTTTTTGTTTGTTTTTTTTTTTGCAGGGAGGCAGGTTGTACATATTCCTGCCGTCTTGCAACATGAAGAATTTAATGGTCGACTTAGAACGCTGTTGGTGTTGTGTAGATTTTGTATGTACATATTTTTAATTAATCATTGTGTATATTTGATTTTATTAACTTAATAATCAAGAGCCTATCATTCCTTTTTTTCTTTTTATTTATGTGCTTCGTATAGATTCGAAGGTTTGACAGCTTTGTAAGCTTTCTACTTCCTTATTTTTGATGAGAAAATATTGTTTCACGTTTCGTAAATGCCAAAAGTGTTCTTGAGAGAATAGTTTTATTTTTTAACTGTATGCTGGGTGTTGTTTTCATGCCTGAATACGGATGCGTTGTACAAAGTTTTGTTTTTGAAAACCGCGTGTTTGGTTAGATGTTTGTCGGGATTATTTTTGTAAAGTATTGAAGAGGAAAACAAAAAAGACCTTGCAACAAAGACAAAAAGAAACGACCGGACATTTCTGGAATGGTGTTATTATTATTAGAATCTGTCTTGAGTCAATCTAGAATGTTCTACCACGACATTATCATTACCAGTTTCCCGTAGCAGTATTCTGTAGTAAAGTGGACCTCCAGTTTGCATGAAATAGATGGAATTAATGTAAAAAAAAAAAAGGACTGACCATAAGATGAGAAGAAGAAATAAAAGTAAGACATTATCTTTTCTGGAAAAGGAAAACAAAAAAACTTACTTGATTCAGCGGATCATCATGTTTATATAATAAAGCAGTACTTTTTTTATTTTGTACTAATTTTAAAACATCAAAGAGGGAGAAGGGCAGGTCCAAAAAAAGTTGGACTCTTTATTCTGAGTGATGCTGGCCAGACTTCCTAATATTTGTGCAGTGTTTAGGCCTCTTCGATCAAAACAAGATGAATTTCAGTGCCATTAGTGTTAAATTTAGGCCTAAACGTGAGAATGTTTTTTGTTGTTTCTTACATTTTGGAGATGTTGCTCCTGACAGTGAGTCTGTCTGTTTTCTGTTTGTGTCGTTGGAAAGTAATATTTATTAAAGACTTTGTAAGAAATAATATATTCAGTGTGGGGCTGTTCATTTTTTAACACGTCAGGTGCTTAAGATTAAAAGTACACTTAAAGTGGCTTAAAGTATCCATGTGTATGAAAGATTCTTTCCACCGATTTTTGTATAATTAAGTCTCCAAGATGTAAACAGAGTCATTCAGAGTGGTTTGGTGTGAAACGCTCTGTTCTAGAGAAACTTAGAGTCAGAATGGTTCACAGTGGTGGTGATGGGAACCAGACGTCTGCAGAGTTTAATGCCTCTAAAAGCTCAATCACAGGAAATGGTTATAAATCCACTGCCTGATGCCTGAAACATTGTTGTATTATAGTTTTACAATAACATTTAGGTCAAAAACAGTTTTTTAAATTCGTTTATGGTGGAAAGGCAAAGAAAACATACCAATTTTACCAGATTTACCAATATTTTCCCATCATCAACTTTACATACAACTCAGAAGGTTCAGTGGTCATTTTGGATAGTAAATACAAGGTCTAGAGACATTGTGACGCCTGGTTTAGATGGTGTAAGATTTTGACGGTGGTATGACATTGAAAATACTGACGTACAGTTTTTGCTAACTGAAAGTGATGAAGTCATGTTGCTAATGCACATCGTGTCAACCTTAAGCTGCTTAGGAACTTCTACCAAATTTAAACAACAAAGTCATGGACATTTTACTCTCCGCTATTCTCTTTATTGTAATTCTCTAGGCTGCAAAGCACTTTATTGGCATTGTTATCTAGTTGCTAGTTTGTTTGTTGCGATTGTGTCAGCGACAGTGACATTATGTTCACTCGATGTAGTTTTCTTTTTTTCAGAAAGAAGATACAACAGCTCGCTGTCTAGTTTTGTATTGGGTCGCACTTCCAAAGTCTGAATTGGAGAATTGAAATTTTATACAGGTTTGGTGTGACCACGACATTATGTGTCAGTTCTAGCTTATCTTGTTAGCTAGCTACCTAACAAGATAGCTAGGTAGTTAACCAGCGCTCAACTCTGTCATAAATCTGCCATTTTTTCAAAAAAAATTCAAACAAGTAGCTCCTTTTTTTCAATTTGCGTTTCACTGTGGAAAAATCACACTGCTGTTGAAATGTCAATCAGCGCGGCATCAGAAATCAAAATGTTCTAAGCATCCTTGCTGGAACTGTGGTACTTGTGAACATAGTGCATACTTGGGGTGTAAATCTCTGACCTCACAATTTAAACGTGAATCTTTATGCGTCATGAAATCTAAAATTGTATTTTGACACAATTCAGTATTATGTTTACAAATACAGAAGAAGTGACTAGCAACACATTACGACTTATTTACAAGCTTTTTGGGCCCAAGAATTTAGATGTTTGCAAAAATAGCTCACATTTTATTAGAAATAGTTCTAATCAATTACAGTTTGCAGTTCAGTTGCCACCTTCAGATAAAAGGGGGGCAGCTTCTTTTGCTCCCATCCAAAAAAAAAAAATATTCGTTATTAATTCAAATCATCAATTTTCTCCTTCATTTCTCATTATTTAGTTGTGCCATTATGTCTCACACAATTGACAGTACTGCAGCAGCATGGCAGTAACATAAGAACAGAAGCCAATCCTGCTGCTGCTTAGCACTGAGGTGACTCTGCAAAGTTAGGTCAGTTGGCAACTGCTGAAGCTACTGAAAATACTTCATATACAGAGTAAAACAGTGAGGAGTTTCAGAATAAAGATATACAAGACCTATTTGCGATACATTATGGTGGCAGTCAGGTTTTTAACAGTTGCTTGTTAGCTAACTTTAGGTTAGCGTGAGAAAGTGAAAGGGGATAGCCTAACACTAACACTAGCTGTCTAACTAGCCAGCTACTTTAGTCTAAGTGTGAATATTAAGAAACTTTACAGATGGTGAGCGGGCGAACGAGTGTAAGAGATAGAAATCACACTAGTGACAGCTCTTCATAGTCTTTCTTTTCATATGTCACTTCAGTATTTGTTTTACATGGCTCAGCTCCTCAGATGGACAGCTCCACTGAGATCTTCGCCAGTTTTAAATGAAAAAAATGAGTGGATTGATCTGTCATTAGGCCTTGAGGTTTTGTAAGTCTGAATTTAATAAAAATAATATTAATAATATGTCACTAAACACAGGCGAGGAGAGGGAGAGGCAGAAGCTGAAGGAGGCCGACAGAGCTGAAGGAGCAGGTCTGATCAGGTACTAATCCAATAGTCTGTGTATTTGAATAGCATGTTTGGAGACTGCAGCTTGTCTAAGAGAGGAGATGGCATTGCTTGGCTTCAGTACCGTTACTTGGGCCCAGTCCCATTTTACTCCTCGCCCCTACCACTTAGCCCTTACCCCTCCGTTTACACGTTCACGTCTAGGGGTAGGGTGTCCCGATTTTTGTTGAGGTAGAGGGGTAGGGTGACGTGTTAGGGCTTCATGGCCCTCCATGTGGAGGTTTTTCAGAGACACTCCAAACGGAGTGATATGAGAAAAAAAGAAAAACCGGCAAGATGGCTGAACAAAAGACCAAAGAAACTCCCAAATGTGAGAATTTCCTCCGCTAAAAATTACAAAAACCATTGTATTATCTTAGTTTAATGTCGTTTCAGTGTATCATGGTCCTTTTCTTCATAACAGTCATAAAAATCGCTAGTAGTATGCTGATGTCTTGGTAGCTAGCTAGCTAATTTTCCCGTTCCACCTTAAATGGTGCAGTAGTTACATACATACAACCTCAGGCATCAGAACTGCTGCTCTGTTTAAGGTGGAACGGGAAAATTCGAACAAGAAGCTGGTGAATAGCTGACTTATAATAAATAAATTGTCCCCCCTCTTTGAAAGCATATGATGCCCTAAATGTAATAAAGCCCAGCAGCAAGGCGACACTCAAAAACAAGGGGTAGGGGTAAAAATAAGAAATGGGATCAGGCCTTGATCTGTCTATTCTAACTGAATGGATAGCATTTAAGTCATATTAGATCTATGTACTACACAATTTTTCACCAGCTTCACCAAATCATGTTTTAATTAATTTTCTGCCCATTATTACTCTAAAGGTTCATGATAAACAGACATTTTGGGACCATCAAAAAATCTCCTTGCCCCCAGAACCCCCTTGTAAAGGCTTAGCCCCCCATCCGTTGATCTCTAGTGGCACCACTGCTGTAAACTCAAAAGCTGGTTAGTGTGCATTTGTGGCACAGCCTCAGTCTAGTATTCCAGCAGTCCATCCTCCTCCTGTTCTGTAGATACTGTTACTGTTAACAACTGTCATACGGTCTGCTAATGCAGCTCTACAGTGACTCTGACCAGTCGCCAGTCTAACAGGCGCACGGCTGTCTAGACGTTGAGCTGGTCTCAGAGAGTTAGACACACATGACAGAGGTTATGGAACCATCTTCAGCACCGTCTTTCTGCTCTCATGGGAACGCCGTGGGCCGGCCCTGAGATGGACCTACTAAATGCGCTTAGCGGGTGAAGCACAAAGGACGTCTTCTACCTCCTCTGTGACCGGCGGGCTTTTCTTTGAAAAACCATGTAAGGAACCATGAAGTGGTGCCTTATCATGTAACTGTGTAACATTCCATGCATACTTACCGCTGCTGTTTGTTTTTACAGTGACATTTCAGCAGCCTTTCAAATAAAGCTAACTTTAGCATTCAGGTCATTCAGACTTAAAGGAATTCTAGACTGTAATGCACTTAATCATAACGAACTTACTCTTATGAGGACATTTGATTTCTCAAGTGTCTCATCTGCCTCCATGCACTCTGTTCTAGAACGTTCTTCCCTTTCACACTGTTCTAGAATGGTGTCCCCATTCACTCTCTTCTAGAATGCTTTCCCCCATTCACACTGTTCTGGAATGGTCTCCACATTTACGCTGTTCTACAGTGGTCTCCGCATTTAGAATGTCCTAGAATGCTTTCCTCATTCAAACAGTTCTAGAATGCTTTCTCCCATTTACATTGTTCTAGAATGGTCTCCACATTTACACTGTTCCACAATGGTCTCCGCATTTTGAATGTTCTAGAATGCTTTCCTCATTCACACTGTTCTAGAATGCTTTCTCCCATTTACATTGTTCTAGAATGGTCTCCACATTTACATTGTTCTGGAATGGTCTCCACATTTAGAATGTTCTAGAATGCTTTCCTCATTCAAACTGTTCTAGAATGGTCTCTGCATTTACACTGCTCTAGAATGATCTCTGCATTTCCGCTGTTATAGAAGGTTCTCCACATTCCTCTTGGTCTAGAATGCTGCCAACCGCCAATATTGGAATTCATTTTTTCACACTTTTATAGAATGTTCTCCCTCCCTCCACTTTGTTCTAGAATATGTTCTAAAATATTCTCCATTCACTGTGTTATAGAATATTGTTTCCCATTCACATTGTTCAAGAATGTTTCCTGTTCATGGTGTTCTAGACTCTTCTATCCCCATTTACACTCTCCTAGAATGATCTCTTCCCATTTACACTGTTCTAGAATTACATTCACATGGTTCTAGAAGGTTTTTGCTCCAACACACACTGCTATAAAATGTTCTCCCACCATTTACATGGTTCTATGGTATGATATTATATGTTGATATTGTATGTTGATTGATATATATACATATACATCAACATACTC